GAGAGCTGCAAAAGAATCACGGAGAATGGACGGACAACATGAAGTCTGTAAGTTGCTGCCGTGCACATAGATGGAAGAATATTGTCAATTCCTTTGCTTTCACATCACGAAAAGGCAGTTACGATGTGATATGAAATGTGAGAATTTTAGTCACGTATCTGAATCTGGTCATTTTACCAACAAAGACCAATGTTGTTGTGCATGCGTACTTTACCGCAGCACGTGCATGGGGTCCATGCGCATATGCCGATCATAAGTTACCTGCTCATCTGATGCACACTGTACATGTACACAGCAGTACTTTGGCACTTTGCCTGGCTGCCTTACTATGTGCATGCACAGCAGTATTTTGGTGCTTAATATGGCTACAGCACTTTGCATGTACCCGGAGACCTTGAGGCTTTCAACCACCGTGTCAGGTCCTGTGTGCTGCATCGGCTAAGTCGAGTGTAGTGTAGAGATGCCAACCACTACGATTTATCCGTATTTTATACGAAGTTCTATTCCTTTTGCACCACTACGACCAGTTTGTATCAAACTACGAATTTAACTGTGATCGAAATTTGTTTTTTTTTGTCTCAAAAATGACAATAAATTGACAAAAAATGACAATAATTCCCCTCAGAATGCATGAAATTGCATCTCAGAATCAAAATTTTTTCCGGGGGGCATGCCGGACCCCCCTAGCAAACTCTGGTCACTACATGACCCTCGAACTACTAATTTGATGGCCAGAAACTACAGATTGCTTCAAATATGTGTTGGCATCTCTGTAGCAAGTGACGAATTATGTGATCATGAATGAAGAAGTATACAAACAATGGATGTGTGGTAGATAATTATAAAACGGTCATTTAGTCCATCTGTGCATATAACCATGTATGTTAATGAGTTGCTCTCTCTCTGTGTTGCTGAGTGCATGTTAAAATGTTTACTGCCTGTGAATATAGTGTTCTGCTCACCTTCACTATCATATACTCACCATAGTCGTGACGCATGGCATATCGTTTATTAAAATTTCAGATGTTACTGGAGACCTTGGCTTTCTCATTCAGTGTGAAGCTACACACCTAGAGGCAACTGGGAAGCTGTACACACGAGATTACACCAGGTATGTGTCTGAGGTATCTAGGGGGCACATATATCAACGTGAAATTTGTTATTGCTTGTTGATAGTTGATACTATTGTTTTTAATTGAGTGAATCTATTTGATAAGATGGAAAAATTGTGGGAGGACAAAACTTAGTCCCGCAAAATAAGTACAAGAGTGTAGAGAACCGTGATATATATGTACATATAGCAGAAGTTGTTTCATAGTGATGGTAGTAGTAGTGCCCGTTGGGTCTATGTCTTCCTGGGTACTGCCGGAACGTACCCTGGTGCTATCTAATATGCCGGACCTCACCTCGCCTACTCCACTAACGAGTCTAGGGAGTCGCCTATGCTTACTCCCTAACCCTAACCCTAACCCTAACCCTAACCCTAACCCTAACCCTAACCATATCAGATAGTTACCAGGGTACGTTCCGGTATACCCTGGTAGACATAGACCCTTTCAGGAGTAGTAGTAGTATCGTATGGCGTCAACATCACACCTTCACAGCCCCACGGCTAATCCACTTGCAAAAGAGTTCGTTTTAACCTTGTTCTTCATTACTGTGGAGGTGTGGACCCTGGAGGAGGTGTAACCTCGTTCAAGTAAAAGGTTTGGACCACTCTTCGTCTGACTCCTCTTCCTTGGCCGGCTCAGCATGGTTAGACCTTTGCTGACTTCGCCCTTGGAGTCACAGGAGTACGCAAGTCGCCACACGGTAGCAACGTGGTGATCCAGGTTATGGGGGTAGTGATGGTAATTTGTGTGTTCCACAGGCCTTCGGTGGTCGGCTGCGTTTATGCGTATCTCTCTGACCGGGATGCACCCGAACTGTGCTCCCATGCAGCTCACATCGTCGAGGCGCGAGGAGCGAGATCTGATTCCGTGCGCTCGTCAACAGCAGTGACGCGCACGGATACGGCCGCGGCAACGGATGCGGCCCAAATAACATCGTCTGCGTCGAGGGCTTCAGTTTCGTCAGCATCTTCATCGGTACCGAGATTAACATCGTCGTTGGGATCTTTCGATGCCGTATCGTCAGATTCTTCTTCAGTGACGGTGCTGAGACTGCCGCCAGCATCTTCATCACTAGCAGCTACGGTGGTGCCATCAGGTGACAGTTATGTGAATGAACAGCAAACTGCCATTTATAAGTAGTTCCTAGCCTGAGGAGATTGCTAGACGTGTTGACGTGTGAGCTATCTATGGGTGACTGTTGAGTCTTGCTGTATGAAAATCAAAAAGCTCACTATATTTAAACCATGTTTATTGCGTAGTAGTCTAACTAAGAATAGTTGAATAACCAAGAGTACGTAGAGAAATAACAGTGAGCAACAAACAAGAAGGATATATGGAATAAGGTACAAATTATCATCAGTCTGTGGGCTTTTAGCTTTGCCTAGTCCGAACAGTAAAGACAGCTGCATAGCACCACCTAAAATTTGCCAACAAAATGTGTGATTATTATAGATTATGCAAATATAGCTATAGTAAATATAGCTAAATATTATAGTAAATAGTAAATATAGCTATTTAGAACTTTACTTGGACACCTATGGTTATACAACAGTAGGGATTCTGTATTGATGTACTTATGATTACATTTTAGTACAATTACATATTACAATGCAGGGTGTGAAATTAACGGGAGTCCGGAGTCAAATACTCTCTGATTTACTGTCGGACTCCCTGATTTGACTTATGCAGGAGTCCGTGTGACTACCTGAAAATTCTGCCATGCTAACTAGTTCGTTCAGAGCACGGCCTCACAGAATTACCATATTTTTTCAGGTAATGCCCAAAGAAAATTTGGCAGACGTGCAACTGCATGAATCTTAAAAATAGGCACATGCGTTATTGTTAATATCTTTTATATTTTAAACCTCAGACTGCGCACTCTCTCATTTTGCCACGGCTCCCTCTTTTTGAGGGTAGGGAGTCCGTTGGACTCCCGTGTTCAAAAGTTAATTTCTACCCCTGCAATGCATTCTTCTGGATTTGTAAACAAACTGTTACATATTGTTTTAGAAGACTATACGTCATTATATATTATGGTTTTTCGTGTTCACAGCATCGATGGCAAGTCTGGTTAAGCCAGGTAGCCAACAGTTGGGTGTTCATATTCCTGGCAGCAGTACTGTACCAAGTTTTTCCCTGAGTCCTGGTTCGTTTGATATTGTCCTGTGTGTTGACAATGGTGAGACAAGGTAGGTGCACTCAGTTGCTTTCCGATATTAATGTCTTAATGAGATGAAGTAAATGATCAACTTATCTAACAATCTTTTCGGTTATTATTTCTCCGTCAAACATAAACTTCATTGCTTTCAACTTCATGTGGTAAGTGTTAAGAATATGTGGATCATGCTGCCATCTTTTTCTCTCGGTCATGTGAATTCAAAATTGGTGTTCCAGATGCTTGAATCCAATTGCACTGAATGTTATTAGGGTTTTCAGTGTAGCATTTGGTTAGCTAAATGTGTTTTGTAGGCACATTTGTATAGTTATTACTGTATGGGTGTTGTATATATACTGCTGTATATGAGGTGTATATCTGTGCAGGCTGGGGCACATGTGTCAGGAACTGAAACTGAATGGAGTTGACTTTGACGTCAGGAAGCTTCAGGTGGGAGACTTTCTGTGGATAGCAAGGGAGAAGATTCTGCCAAAACCTGGTGTGCATAATGCTGTGTCATTCTCACAACACACATACCGTCTCTCTCGCTCTCTCTTTTCTCTCTCTCTCTCTCTCTCTCTCTCTCTCTCTCTCTCTCTCTCTCTCTCTCTCTCTCTCTCTCTCTCTCTCTCGCTCTCTCTTTTCTCTCTCTCTCTCTCTCTTCTCTCTCCTCTCTCTCTTTTCTCTTCTCTTTCTCTTTCTCTTTCTCTTTCTCTTTCTCTCTCTCTCTCTCTCTTTCTCTCTCTCTCTCTCTCTTACTCTATTCTGTATTTGCTTATCATGCTTTGCTGTTAATCGCTATCTGTTTTGTTTCTTCGTCTCTATTAGCATTTAGATTTTTCTTTTTCTCTCCCTCTCCTGTCTTTCCCCCTCTCTCCCTCATTCTATCTCTCTCTCTCTCTCTCTCTCTCTCTCTATCTATCTTTCTATCTATATCTATCTCGCTCCCTATCTCTCTCCCTCCCTTCCTCCTTCCCTCCCCCTCTCATTCCTTCCCCCTTCCCCTCCCCCTCTCCTTCTGTTTCTCTCTCGCTACCTCCCTCTCTGTTCCTCTCTCTCTCTCTCTCACTCTCTCTTTTTCTCTTTTCATTCTAATATACTGCTTAGGCCATTTCATCTGCTTGCATCTCTGTGTTCTAGTTCATGTGTGATTGCATATCTATGAATGTTTGTACACGCGTGTAGTATCTATCTAGTAGACTCACATCCTTACATTCAGGTCAGCTGAGAGTGCCAGTACGCAAGGAGCTCACGTTAGATTTTGTCATAGAGAGGAAGCGCATGGATGATCTCGCTGGCAGCATCGTCGACGGTCGCTTCCGAGAGCAGAAAGTAACTGATTAGACATTTTCGTCTCATTTTCCGGCCAAGCACTATGAGTAACTAATCGAAAGTGACTTGAGTTTTGTAGCGTGTGTCTATGCTGTCAATTACGTGTGTATCACAGAATGTATGACAGAATTTTTACGTGTGTAATGCAGTGCAAGTTTAAAAAAAAATTCTGTCTGGTAGATATTAGTGTAGATACATGACCGGCTTCATTACTTGTATAAGTAGATACTACTGATTGTTATTAGTTCTTCTTGTCGTACTATGCACTATTGCCTTCGCTCTGCCAGTGAGGCGTTTGTTAATGCGATTCATTTGTTTTTTAGTTTAGAATGAAGAACTGTGGGCTACGGCGACCGATCTACCTCGTAGAGGAGTACGGGTCCGCGAAGCACTACAGTGTCCCTGAGCAGACCCTGAAACAGGCTATCACCAACACGCAGGTGTCAGAAACCTTTGCCATTGTCTGCAGCAGTGCACTTCGAATCTTAAAATCTACGTAAAATAAGATCCCATGAAAATGGAGATTCCACTGACGTTACTTCGTTTTTTTATTGTATTTTTTTATTTTTAGTTATCTGAATTGCATTTCGCTGTCTGATTTTTCAACTCAAAGCGATTTCAATGGAACTAAGCACATGAATGGAATAATGTATACACGAGCTGCTGATTCATTGTACATGTATAATGCATGCACGTTATGCTAATGCATTTTGTGGCTTGTCTCTACCATGGTTATATGTTAAACACACAGGTTGTTGAGGGATTTCATGTTAAGGAGACTCATAATATCCAGCAGTCTGCCGCGTACCTTACTGTCATGTCGAGGTATCTGCAAAGTATTTACTTGGTAAGGGCAATGTTACAACTTTAACATACACTAATTATTAACTTCATATAAAAAATTTCCTATTTATAATTTAGTGAGTACAAGAATTCTCTGTTTGGGAGCTTGTAATGGCGTGGGAGATTATTGGTGTTTTTTTCTTCTTAGTAGTGTTTCACTATGCAAATTCTTTGTGTTTTTTCTATGCACTTTTTTAATGTTTTATCATGCAAATTACCTTTGAGTGCTTTGTACCCGAGTACCTTGCATTTATATTGCATGCAGTACTGGTGCGTGCGTGCGTGCGTGCGCGTGCGTGCGTGCGGGCGGGTGCGTGCGTGCGTGCAGGTGGGTGGGCGGGTGGTCATGCGTGCATGCGCGGTGTGTGTTTGAGAAGATTGGATGGGGGAGAGTTCACTTCACTTCTAAGAATAGGCCTGTGCACAGATAAATGCATCTAACCTATGGCTTTAAAGGGCTATATAATAGGACTTACAATAGTGTGAAATCATCGGTTGCAAAGACAGCTCTTATCTAAACATCTTATTCCTTCGTATATATTTTCTTGGTGTCTTAAATTCTTTCCCAATGTCTATTTTCCAGTTTGATTTCTTTTCTTCTGTTACATGGCACACTTCAGTGCCTCACTGCGATGAATTTTCCCAGACTTTGTATCATTACAATAAAACTATATGTTGGCAGTTAGTGGTATATCTCCATCAGAAATAAGAACGGAAATCTAAATAGGTGAAGCGCAACTTCTATAACGTAGTGCTTATTACGCATTAGCTTATTATATTCACGTGTTACGATATTTTACTTGATTTGTGTCTTTGCAGGGTAAGACACTGTGCAGCTGCGGCAAAGAAGAGTTGAGCAACACACAAATGAATCTCTCTGCGCATAGACAGCCCCTACTTACCTTCCAAGAGTTTAGCGATGGAAGCATAAAGGACCGAGTACGTAAAAACAATTGAATTTCCATCGAACGTGACAACTAATGCCATCAAATATCGTCGGTCACCAAAAAATCTGACGCACTGGTTCCTAAAGGTTACCGTTAGTGAGAACACTGTCTGATACACACACGCTGTGAGTTTTAAGAGTTCGTAGTTCGGAAGACGATTGTGCTGTTAGGTCACACACTGTGAACTTTAAGAAGGCGTAGTTCGGAAGACAATTGTGCTGTTAGGTCACACACTGTGAATTTTAAGAGCACGTAGTTCGGAAAACGATTGTGCTGTTACTGCTGTAATGGTTTCAGGTAATGACGGTCACAGAGGTGTTTGCGAAGCAGTTGATGCAGATCTCAGGTGTGTCGGCTGAGAAGACGCTGGCCATCGTCACCAAGTACCCAACACTTGTAAGGTAACACACACGTTCCGAAAAACGTATAGCAGCGATTCCTTCGTTATGATCCTTGGGTAGAATTTTCTATCTGTTTTATTCCTCGGGGTACCACGCAACTTTGCTGGGTATAGTTATAGTTTCAGTCAAATATACACATTTCTCATGCTTATGACATACTACAATAATCAGAGATGCCAACCACTACGATTTATCCGTATTTTATACGAATTTCGTTTTGCATTTTGACCACTACGACCAGTTTGCATACAACTACGATTTTTATTACGATCGAAAAAACAACATTTTTATGATATTTCACATGTTTTGTTTCAGTGTTACATTGATATAACATGATTAAAATTAACTACATGTATTTAGCAGCAAATATCAGTGTGAACTTATTATCATTTTGGGTCCCAGAATGCAGGAAATTGCATCTCGGAATCAAAAATTTTCTGGGTGGCATGCCCCGAACCCCCCTAACATACTTGGGTCACTGCGTTACCCTCGGACTACATATTTCAAATATCCTCACTGCAGTTTGCTCAGAAAAGTCTTGGCATCTTTGAATAATGGTTGGCTGTCTTTTAATATGTTCATTATTGTTCACAAGCTTTTTTATTGGCATGCCATTACACCTCATGCCAATTTCCAAATCCTCATCTCTTGAGTATAGACTGGTAACAGGATCTGACCCAGATGTGATATACTATCGTATCACGTTTAATGCACGAGATACGTTTCTGAGGCTTATATGCTAAGTGCAACGTCCATTGAATGAGGGCAACATACACATAGTTAATATCTGGAAATGCTGGCGTAAGGTCCACTTTCTAATCACAACCTTATAGTCATCTTGATAAGATCCAGTCATTCTAGTGGTCAGTCTGATCAGAAATTATTCCACACCTGTGTATCCATCTAACATGACACCCAAATTTAGGAAGTAGACCGTCACGTCTTTAGCCCATGTCTGGCTTTCTCTCTTTCGAAATTTACCCAGCGATAGATTGCTTGGCTGTGTGTGCGTCAGTGACGATTGCATTGTTTAGCGATATACCATCTGGTTTAGCGAGTATTCTTGGGTCATCTTTACTCTTTAGCCATGCCTGGCTTTTTCTTTTTTGAAATTTACCCAGCGGTAGATACCTTGGCTGTGAGCCTCAACGACGATCACATTGTGTAGCTATGTATACCATCTGGTTTAGCGGATACTCTTGGGTTTTCTGTTTTAAGGTTGATGGAGGCATATGATGAAGTGCCAGAGAAGGACAGGGAGTTGCTGCTGTCTTCTCTCAAGCATGGTCAGCAAAGGTAATAGCAGTGTCCACATCACTATATATAAAACAGCCTATACTGTCTAATGAGCAATGTTTAGTGACCATAATTTAACCACAAATTTTTTGTCCTAGTTCCATTTATTACCATATTTTCACTCCCATTTCCTGAGGAAAAGGTTGATGATAAAATGCAGTGTAGCAGTGATGTCTCGTAGATGTAAGAAGAATACTAATAATTGTAGGAACATTGTATCAATATTACCATGGCGAATTAAATTGCATGTGTCAATATAATGGAAACAAGTTGTAGCTAGTTTCGACTTCGCAAGGTTATGTGCATAGCTGTCACTATTAAAAGCATGAAATCTATGTTCTATTTCTAGATTGAAATTAATTGCATTTCATAAAAATTTAAAAGAAAACTATGGACTATGTATATTTTATTATAAATCCATGAAACCATTGCTAACAGGGTAATTACCTGAATTATATCATAAATGAAACTAGGTTTCAATATTGGATAACCTTGACACAATGATAATGTATCTTCAGAAATCTAGGTCCAACTCTGAGTAGAGTCATCTACCGGCTGTATTCATCACATACACTACCTTGATAGTTCTAAAGGTGGAGAAGAGAAGAACCACCAGTATACATGTAAGTTGGATCTGTAAATGCATTTCATTTGCCATTAACAGCTTTTGGCCCCACACGTTTAGCAAGTAAATTTTATTTTGTGTGTGCTTTGGGGTAATTTTAGCTGTTAATTTATTAGTGTGTGTGCTGCTATAGTGAAAATAGTATCGTTTCTGACTGTTGTTCCTCGGTGGAATATGTTATGCCTCCTGTATCTTTATATTGTGTAAAAACTTGTATTTGCTACCACTAGGTGGCACTGGTTGATAGAATGGCACTTACCAGCAGCTTCTTTGGCCGCTGTCCAGGTATAATATTAGTTATATATAATATTATATTATTGTCTAAAAGGTCCAGCTTGTTTATATGAAGTGGATTCGCATATGACAATATTTGGAGGTGTTCTATGAAAAATAGGAAGCGCATTTATGATTACTTGTAGGAAGTTCCTTGTGTTCTTTGTTTTTGTTCCAGAAAGGTATAGTTGTAAAATATTTTTATTCGTGAGAGAAAAGCAGTCCTATACCTTATTGAAGGAATAGAATACGCACCCAGAAAATATGTAAATGCTTTTTGTTTGTGACAGCGAGGAAATCTCTCTCGTATTGTGTTGTAATGACATGTTGCACCATAAAATTTTTATCATTTTGACTTTTGAGTCCAATTGTGGTTGTTTTTTGTATAAACGAATTGTAAAAAGTATAAATATATAATGTATGTGTTGAGTGAGCCAAAATAAGTATTTCTTGTAAAAAATTTAATAAAAACAAAAGTTAGGTTCTACCGAGATTTGAACTCGGATCGCAGGATTCAGAGTCCTGAGTGCTAACCATTACACCATAGAACCATTTCTGACCAACTTGTTCAGAAACATGTAGTAGTGTGTTCATTGGTGGAAAATGTGATCACGTCAGGATGTATCACGTGACTAAACTGCAGTAGGATGGGTAATCGTGGAATGAAACCGGTTTGATATCGTCAATGTTATGAAAGCGCATTACGATTGCATGTTTTCCGGTCAAATAAACTTGTTTTTGTCTCTTGTAAACAATATCTATGCATCTATGTGAGATATTTTGACTCACGTGACCTCAACGTATAATTAATAAATTAGACTTTCCGACAGCGCTGGCATTAGCCCGTTGATCCAGCACTTGGAGCATTTCAATCAAATATAATGCTAAATAAATACGAAATCTATTTACTACCAAAGTTTCCAATGTTTCTCTACTCTCTTTCACCTATTATTGCCGACAATTTCCTGTAAATGCCGTCCAAATGCTCATCTGCAACCATAGAAATAATATAGATAACCTATGTCTGCAACACACTGTCACGCGCTGGCCGCCGCACGCTAGCTGCTGCACACTGACACCTAAATATATAGTTATTTATTATAAATATATATATTTATTATTATTATTATATATAATTATAAACATATATATTTATGTGTCAGTGTGCAGCAGCTAGCGTGCGGTGTACTTGTGTGTTGCAGATGAGCATTTGCCGGCATTTACAGGTGATTATAGACGAAAGAGAGTAGAGAAACATTAACTGGTAGTAAATACATTTCGGTTTATTTACTTTTTTTCATTGAGACACTCCAAGTGCTTGTGGTTGATCCGGCATAATCTCGCATGACGTATTTGTATAAAACATAATTGGCGTGATTATTAGTTGCCCAATTTAATCATAAACCTGTATGAGATGTTCTCGCTAGTGGATATTACGCGTATATTGTCTAACATTTCTAACAGATTATATAATGACGGACTAGCTAGTTACGCCTGCGCCTGCGTATACACCGCCACATGCATGGTGTGTTCTTAGCTATGACCGCCTCTATATATTTGCTGGGGGCGCATAAAACTCACAGCATAGCAGGATGCGCAACCCCATATTGTGTGGCACGTATACTTCTTCATTTACAGGTAATCTACTATAACACATTCTTTAAATGGCGTTTAATTGCCTAATTATTATCAAATGTTTTTTTGCTAATACAATAATTATACATAATTACAGGTAATCTAGCTATAACACATTGATGATAATAGCGTTAATTGTCTAAATTATTGTCAAATGTTTTTTTTCGCTAATACAATAATTATATACATTTATTACCTAGCTGCATGTTTTTGACAAAAAAAATCCAAAAATATACTAGAACACGTCCATAACTTACCTATTATCTCGAAATTAATTATCTTCTGTAAAATTATTTAATAACTGTTTTATTTATTAACTGTGCTGTTACAAAACAAGGGACTACGTCACGAATTTTCTATGGTAAAATTTGTAAAAAAAAAATTGCATTATTTTTTTACATTAAAAGTAAGAACTAACGTTACTAAATTTATCCTCAAACTCTCACCTAATAAAAATGTTTTTACGTTGGTTAAATTTGCAAAAATCTAGACGATTTGGTAATTTCTGTTGTCTAACACTATTCCCCCAGTACTGTTCAGATACTGGCATCTCTCTGTTGTTCACCGCAAATTAGGGCATATAAAGAAGGTATATAAGCATGAAAAGTAAACAGAAACACTAATTGTATTTTCATACATTTTATTTTGTACAAATAACACACAAATGTACTACTTGATGGTGCTAGAAATTCGTGACGTAATCACTTTAATAATACTTTATATAACATAACAAACTTTAAAACAAAACAAGCATAATGTAAGCCAGAGCTGTGTGTTCGCATGGTCATGCAGCTAGATTGTCGCAGATATTACTGCTAGCAGTGTTTATACCGGCCATTGCCTTTATTAGTTCTTATCGTTATAAACAATATAAATTTGAAAGCGACTGCCAATGCGCAGATAATCACATACTTCAAACAGGTACCACCATTATATAATTTGTCATTATTAACCCCTGATATCATGTGTACACGTGTTTATATATCATCAGGAGTGAATAATAATAGTCTGTTATTATTCTATAATAATAATAGAATTGATTAGATTGATTTCGATTAGATATCATTCATATCATCATTTATATCACTCGATTAGATATTATCAGAAGTAGATCATCTTCTACCTATTATCTACTTCTGATATTATTCATATTCGATAAGATTCATTAGATTCAATAATATTATGTTCTTAAAATAAAAATCTATTTTTTTCACTTTTGATATCATGTGTATACGTGTATATATGATATCTATGGGTACCATACTCTCTGATTCACGGCGTCTTGCGTTTCCAGAAGAGGTGTGAATTTGATATGACATATTGTGAAATTCACGATTATATTGATGCCACGCTATCGGGGCCGTAGCTAGCGGGTGTGGGGGCAAGGGGGCAGTTCCCCTCCACAGAAAAATTGGATACAAATACATCATGGTCAATGGCAGGTCACCTCGAGAACACACCACGCACCTGGCTTTCACCCCTCCCCCCACACACACCTCTCAGGCCAAAATGGGTTAGCTTACGGTCCTCGACTAAGCAAATGGAAAAAAGGCAGAGCACGTTATTCATATATATCATCAGGCGTAATAAAGACAACTTTAACTAAAAAGTAAAGCAGAGCACGTATATGATATCAGAGTTAATAAGACAATTTGTCTTATTTAACTCCTGATATCATATACGTGCCTCTGTTATACTTTTAGTTAAAATTGGTTTATTGCATTTCTGCTGCGCTCATACTAATGAGCTTAAGGATTACTGGTCAGCTTAGCGCTAGGGTTATATTTAGAGCACGCTGACCCGTGCGGCGAATTCCATCGCATCCGGTCATCTGAATGGCCATTTTACCGGAATCAATCAATGCCGCTCAACCATGCGTCTGTTTTATTTGCTGGCCGATACACGCGTGCGTGTAAGTGCGCGCACGTGGCAGAAGAATAAGGAATGCTCTTTAAACTAAGACTATCCGTAAAAGTGTTGTACATCGCACTCCCCTAATAAGATAGACATTGCGTAAGACTTGCTTGTCTTCCTCACCGCTCGTATACATCGTGGTTTTACCCTCATGATAATAATAGCTTGCGGGTGTAAGCGAACCTTCTTAATATGTCGCTTCTCTCTTCCATCCAACAACCCGATACCCTTCATGGCGCACGATGGGATATCTTTTATACGATGAAGCGCTTGTGTGTTGCGTTTGCGCGTGCGTGGCGCGCGTGTACGTGCGTGCGTGCGTGTGTTGCGTGTGTGTGCGTGCGTGCGTTGTGTGTGTGTGTGCGTGCCGTGCGTGTGTGTGTGTGTGTGCGTGCGTGCGTGTGTGTGTGTGCGTGCGTGCTGTGCGTGCGTGTGCGTGCGTGCGTGTGTGTGTTGCTGGGTGCGTGTGCGTGGCGCGTGCATGTGCGTGCGTGCGTGGCGCGCGCCTCGCTGTGCGTGCGTGCGTGTGTGTGTGTGTGTTGTGTGTGATCGCGTTATCGTCTAGCGACAGTGTAGAGTAGAGTGATCGTGGCATAGGCCAGCGCGACCTCATGACTGGCCACTTGTTACCCCGGGTACGCGCCTCAGCTAAATTACGCCTCTGTGCTGCTGTGTATAGGAGGAGCTCCAGCTGAGTATAGTATAGACAGGCTTTGCGCGGTTCCGGCTTTACACTCGCGGTCCGTTCTGCGAGCTCTTTGACCGGACAATGCTGACTTTGATGTTTGTACCTCTTTCGCACAGTCTCTGGCTAGTCGATCTCTGTTTAACCAGATTTTCCCGATATTGTTTCAGTTGTGCGCACGCGTACATAATAATAGTCGCTATGAAACCCATTGAATGTCACGCGTAGTTTCGGTTTCCGTTCGTTTCCGTAGGTTTTCATGTGTATATATAAATATATTCATATTGTGTGTGTGCCTGTGTTGTGTGTGTGTGTGTGTGTGTGTGTGATGTGTGTGTTGTGTGTGTGTGTGCGTGTGTGTGTGTGTGTGTGGTGTGTGTGTGTGTGTGCGTGCGTGCGTGTGTGTGTGTGTGGTGGGTGTGTGTGTGTAGTGTGTGTGTGTGTGTGTGTTGTGTGTGTATGTGTGTGTGTGTGTGTGTGTGTGTGTGTGTTGTGTGTGTGTGTGTGTGTGTGTGTGTTGTTGTGCGTGTGCGTGTGCATATTATATATATCATCGAACACTCTTACCGACAGTATGAAACAATCAAGCATCCAGACTTATATATATATGGATGGATGGGTAGACAGTCGGACCGGACATGTACGGATGGATGCGATGGATGGATGTGATGGATGGATGGATGGATGGATGGATAATCGATGGATGGACGTGGATGTGAGAATGGATGGATGGATGGGATGGATGGATGGAATGG